TGCTCCATGGGAAGACAAAGAAGAAGTGGGGGTGGGCATCTTAGGAGTTTTCAAAAGGAGAACAGAGATAAAACGCGAGCCTGACACTCAAACAGCATTCTTTCCTTTGCTAGTCACCTGGCATCTCTGTGCACAGCCTAACTCCTCACCCCACCCCCAAAATGGCCCCTACACAGGTTAAAACTAGAGAATAACAAGGCTTTGCACCCCAACTAGTCAACCAAGACAAGAGATCTGGGCTAGAATGCAGGACCCCAAAACGCAGGAAAGAGACAGGAGGTGAGATGGAAAAGCCCTGCCCCACTTATGGAGAGTAAAGAGGAGAGGAAGCGACCCCAGGGCTCTGCAAAGAATCCGTTTCCACAAGACCAAGATGAGAACGGGTGAGGGAATCTATAAAGCCAAATGACTAACAGCAAAGTTTAGGATCACGGCAGGTTGCCAGCCAGTCCAAAGCTCTGTTGGCTCTCATTTTTTTACATCATCTTATTTCATATTCTTTTAACCTTTGTTTCCCTGTAAAAGTTCCTTCTAAAAAATTCCAGTCTTGTCCTAGGCTGCCGCGGGGCAAAGGGGTACGCTCGCCCCCGCGGCAATAATGCTGGCAGACAACTGTGCAGCCTCTTCCCTCCTGCCTGTTACGTGCATCTCATCAGAGGGGGCTTTGGAGGAAGAACAGAGGGCTGGGGTCAGGGAAGGGCAACAGTATAGGATGAGGAGTTTCTGCTTCCTTTGAATCTTACAACACATTAGATGGTGTTCCTCCCATCCCTAAATAGGGAAACAGTTCACCCAAACCTCACTCCTGAATCTTAAAAGCATCAAGTTCCAATTATGCCACAAGTAGAAGAAATAATTCAGGGTACTCAGATGGGGATCAGGAGTCTCATCTCATTTCCGGTGGCCTAGAGGCAGCCTAAACCATTACATAACACAACTATCCAAGGAGCACAGTGACAGGGAGACACCTCTTCAACCTTACCCTCAGGCATCCCCATTTTATTCTCATCGCCTCTTCCATCCAGCCCTGTCCACCCTGCTCCACGCTCTTCTCCCCTCCCTCAGCCAGGCTACTTCAGCAGATGTGGAGACAGTGAGGACTCACAACTCCTTCCTGCCTCCTCCTACTCCTCATTTTCTCTCCTCCCCTCCTTCCCCTGTATTTGCCCACGTGGAATGGGAAGGGGGCAGCTGGCAGTGTTTACCTCTCAGGAGTGCCCTCACATTGTCTAGGAACTACTGAAAACCCCTTGTCTCTGAATCACTTCAACCCTTCATAAGCCGAGGGACCTATTTTTAACAAGTAGGGGCACCAAATGCAAGTTGGGCAAGTTTAGCTCAGAAAGTATGATGGCTGGGCTCTAAATTCTTGATGGGGGACATAAACAGCCCTTGAAAATGAGCATAATCATTTATGAAGAAAAGCAACAGAAGAGACATAGAGGCAGCATCACTGTTGAGTGGATCTGTCTTTCCATCTCTGCAAATGTCATTTCTCCCCTTCCCTGTCTCCCCTGTTCTTTCCTCCTCTCCTGCTCCCTGCTCCTCACTTTACTGTGAGACACATGACAGGTGGCAGGCCTAGGAGGCTGGGAAGAACAAGAAGTTGAATCTCACAGAAAGTCCAGCTACAGAAGATGGCCCGGGATGGGCAGAGGGAGGTAGGGGCCTCGTGCGCCCACCTGCCCTCCTGCCAACAGCTGGATTTCTCTGCCTGCCTGCCTTCTCCCCCAATCTCCTCAAAGCCTCCTGGTGACCATCAGACCCTGTCACCACCTCCCACTGGCAGAAGGGAATAACTTGGAGAAAAAGTCCATGAAATCAAGGGATAACTAGTTTCCAGTGTGCCAGTAACTCCCCTCTTCCTCCTGGATATTTCCTGTATTTGTGGAGTCACCAAGACAAGGCCACCGCACAGGAGAGTCAATTACCCTCCCAAGCTGAAAACCCACATTCTGTGGCACACAAACTTCCAGTGCCTGGAGACGGTTTGGCAGAAGTCAGTACTATAAATGACATGAGCCATTTTCTGAAGCCCCAAACCCCGGATCCATTCTAATCACCCTTGGTGTTTTATTAGCAGCATCTCGGGGAAGTAGGAGCAGAAAGAGACATCCTTAGATGACCTGAAGAGTCAGCTCAACAGCCTGCTACATCTCAGTATTCTCCATCACAATTGTTTGTCATCCGTTTATCTCCTCTTCTCCATCTCTGACTTTGCCCATGACCCTCTCAGGCCTGTTTGATTTCCTTCTGCGGGGAGGGGAGAGTGCCTTTCCAGACTAGCAACAGTTGACTTCAGGGCCCTGCTCAGTAGCTGTGCCTTCTTTACCCAGGCCCTACTTTCCTCCCAGCCCCTTGCCTGCAACCTTACTCAGATTACCAGAAACCTTTCTAGTCATTGACTCTGAGTAAAACATCCACGATCATCAGAAACTAGCCCTCATTGAGGACCAGTTTACCCTCACTCCCCTCACTCCCCGCTACCGTGCCCCACCAGAAGATTCTGTCCACTGCAAGACCAACAGCCTCAACAATGATGCTATTATTTCCACCTTAGTGCCTCAACTGTGATGCCACTGTCGTGCCACATCCCAGCATGCTAACAAGGAGACTCACTCCACTCCCATCCAACTGCTTGTTTGGCCCCTGATCCATGGAGATAAGAAATGAGAGCACCTTCCAGAAACTTAACTCCCAAGCTTTGGCTTCCACAAGCACCCCGCTGCCTAGGCTCATCTGCCCCACGCAGATCTGGACTCCGTGAGCAAGATCATCAGAAGTTGCCCAGGAGCTGCAACAAAATTCTGAACAGTTTACATAAAGTGGGCAGGAGTTAGTAAATGCAGTGCTTTCTGGAATCTCGGAAGACTATATAAATTTTCTTTGTAAATTAGTAGAACCATATTCAGTGGAAATAGAAAAGACTTCAAAGACGTGGCAAGTAAGTTAACCAGCTCATTCAAGGGCGGTCTCCCCTAACCTCTTGGTCCAGCCTCAGCCTCTGCTGTCACTGATCCCTCCATTGTGTCTCTGCCTTCTCTGTGTCTCCCCCCTTTCTCTCTCTGGACTACCTTATCTTCCCCTCTCCCCACTTGCTTTCTCCCCCAGACAGTTCCTTGGGTGGTAGGCTAGTCCAGCTGGCTTTGCATTTCCTTTGTTGCTCAAAGAGAGTCTGTTGAGTCCCCAGAGATATGGATTTCAGTGTAATTTGGGGACTCAAAAGCACTCTTTGCTCTTCCTTCAACATCACCTTCTCTTAGCTACCTCAGAGATGCCCAACAAATGCCTATGATTCAATGACTTGCTAAAAAGAGAGCACACATTAGTGAGGGTAGACAAGGACAAGGGAAATGGAGTATTGACATCAAGAGTTTCATTTTTTCTGTTCAGAACCTTCATGAACTGTACTATGCACTCTCTATTCAGGAGCCTCAGCTGGTACACACCCTCCTAGTCAAATAGAAAATTTAGAAGTGTCTTTTCCTCTCTTCCCTAAAAACTAGTGGTCCCTGAGTCAGTTGGCATTTGTGACAATGATTGTTGAGAACTTCCAGTGGAGTCTTGAATCTCACAACCATTCCCTTTTCCCAGGAGAGACAACTAGGGGGGCTCCTCCCTACGACCCCACCCCAGCAATCATGACAACTGTTATGTATACCACACGCAGTTCACCCAGGGTCTAACCATGCCACAACCCATTCTAGTTCTCATTTGTTCCCTCCTCTTTCACCTCGCTTCTAACAGGCTCTATTTAAGACACTTGGAAGGGCAGCCTCTCCCCGTTCCTACTTTGCCTCCTTTGGGTTTCCAGCTCCGGTGCATACCAACACCCATTCTCTTTAGTTCGATTCTTCCCTCTCACTCCCTCAATGGAGGAGTGATTTCTGCAATTCTCAGAATCACAGCGGGAGACAAACAGACAACTGGAATGGCCTATTCTCCTGGTACTCTTTTACTTTACTTCTCCACTCACTTCCTCCTATTGCCTTTGAACTACTAGACCTGAACAACCCCTGTCCTACCCTTCCAAAGGGAGCAAGAGTAATAGCTAGCACTTACTGAGTGACAACTATGTACCAAGCATGCTTTTGCTCAGCTTTTCTGGGACTCCAGCTCTCAGTCCCTGTGACACTCTTTCCTTTGCCAAACTTTCCATCTCTCAACTCCCTGTCTCATCTCTATCTCCAACTCCATCTTCTAACCACTTATAGGATAATCCACTGTCATTCTTCCAGAGGCCGAATCTTATGTGACTAGACCCTTCAAGGTTGGACCACTCCATCTCTATGCTCCGACCGTCATTAATTTCTCTCAGGAATTGGCTCATGGTCCAGGCTCCCCTTTTCAACATCCAAGCCAGCTCTTACTAAAATGCCCTTACAGAGAAGCCATTTCTGTGGGCAAAAACACTGCCTCACGTCCCCACTGCCAGTTTAGCCCCCGATTGCTGGGCCTTTAGAGTCCCCAGAAGTAACCCCATCATTTCCCCCCAGGCCCCGGAACCTATCCAGACCCCAAGAATGGCCACAGCATTTCACACAGGTTACAAGAGCTCCAATAAGCAATTTTGACTCCAGCCTTCTGCTGCCTGACTCCTCTGTCCCCATTCTCCGAGTCCCGACCACCTTTCCCCTCCCTCCTGCCCACTCACTTGCCCACCAACTGTTTAGCAAAGCAAAACCCTCTTTATCAAGTGATTCAATATGACACTCTCATTTTCTCTTGAAGGGTTCGTTTGTACTTTTAGAGCCCCAAATGCATTCTTCTTTGGGGGAGAAAATTGCTTTTCACCCGTTACTGAGAAGACGCTGGATTTGGAGTGTGATAAACGGCTGAATCAACTCAGGGGAAAATATAAATAAAACCGTTACCCCAGGATCTCGCGATGCGAGGACTGACTGGTAACGGCCACCACGCTTCCCAGGCTCATCATTCACTGGGCTACTGACCTGTCAATCACTTCTGCTGGGCCAATGAGGACTACCCCCGACACAAACGTTGGAGGGCAGGCCTATCGCTCCCTGCTATTTGAGCCCATGGAGAGGAGCCTGCTGCCCACAGCTGCTGGTCTCACCACGAGGGCCTGGCATCGTAGGCAGGGGGAATGGGGAGGGGACGGTAGGGTCAGCCTAGACTCACACACAGGTTAGAGCCTTTGGAGGGGGAAGGGGAAAAGGCTTAGTACTTACTAATGGGTTTTATTAATAGTAGTGTTAGGTAGGCTACACTGGCTGGATTCCGCCCCCACACCTGCCATTCCGTCATTCTGTGACCGTGGGTGAATCTCTTCCTCATCTTGGGGCTCAGTTGCTTTTTCATAAGGAGAGGATTGATTGTCCATAATCTTTCAACCCCTTTGCTTTTGGATATTGTGGAAGATGCCCTACCTCAAGAAGGGGAGAACCCAGATTACCCACAGGCTAGTTAATTGTGAACGTCAGGGAAAGGGCCAGAGTAGAGAAGCACTACCAGGATGCAGAGCCAGGAGGATGCTCAAATGGAAGGAAGAAGAGACGCCCTTCAGCCAAAGGAGAGCTTGGAGGGTGAGGGGAAGTGGCTGCTTACCAGAAAGGCCTCCTGAGTGTGACCTCAAAAGACAGAGGATGGCCAAACGCAGAGGCTCACGCTTGTAATCCCAGCACTTTGGGAGGCTGAGGCGGGTAGATCACTTGAGGACAGGCGTTCGAGACCAGCCTGGCCAACATGGCAAGACTCCATATCTAACAAAAATACAAAAATTAGTTGGGTGTGGTGGTGGGCAACTGTAATCCCAGCTACTCAGCTGCTTGGAAGGCTGAGGCACAAGAATCACTTGAACCAGGGAGGTGGAGGCTGCAAGTGAGCCGAGATTGCACCATTGCCCTCCAACCTGTGTGACAGAGTGAGACCCTGTCTAAAAATAAGAGGAAGCATTTTGGTCCACTCAGACAGGGTTAGATAGAAATGAAAAAGCTATTGAAACTGAAGAATGCCCTGTAACCCCACTTATGGGTTGTTTTGATTCTTTCCTGTAGTTTCCTGATAAAAGGTCCTTTTGAAACATTCAATTCTCACCAAGTTGAACGCAGATGTGTTCCCATAGTAAGAGTGAGGCCCCTGCATTTGCTGCCTTCTCGGTTTTCCCAACCAACACCGTGGCCTCCCCTCTGTACCCCATTCATATGCCTCAGAAGCTGACAATGACTGCTGGGCTTTCCCAGTGAATACCGGAACACCATTTCCTGCAGCCTGAAAAGAAGACAGTATAATTATTTGGCAGCAAGAGGTGAGCATGGGTAAGAAGGGCGGAACTCCTTCGCCCATACCCACCCCTCCTCCTCTTCTCCTTTCCCCATATTCTTTCTCCCCATCCCTTCCCTCCCCCCACCTCCTGACTCTAACCCAGGCCACCAAAATGTTTTCCACTCCTCCCTCCCTCCCCAGGATTTCCGGGCGCCTGAAAGAAGGACTGTTCCCTGGCACTAGTTTGTCATTGTCTGCTCCACTGAGAAATAATCAGCTCCCAGAAAGTTTGAGAAATTGATTTGCAGAAACAGGGCACCAAACCAGTTTAGAGGCAGGATCTGTAGTCAGTAGAGCTGACAAACGCCATTTCCCCGACCCATTGGGTATCTGAATACTTGTCATTGGCCCTTGAGAGCTCATCAGCTATGTGTAATAAGCTTGCCCAGGACCAAAAGTGCCTCTTGCTGCTTAAATGTCTACCAGAAAGATTCCACTTGTCAAAGCACCTGCCTCCCTCCAAGGACTTTTTCCCTCTGTCTCCTTTTTCTCATCTTTACACTGTTCTCCACATTGCCTCTTCTCCTGTGCCTTTCTCTCTCTCTGGTTCGATTTTTTTTTTTCAGCCCAAGCCAGAAACAAGAGACATGATGATGGTAGTGGTGCCAAGGAGGAACTTTAACCTGAGCGCCATCCACACACAGGAGGCAGGCCACCCTCCCGGCCACACTGCGAATGAATGTTGGGCGCCACCCGGGTCCTCAAGTGCTTTCCCAGTCACCCCCAGCTGCCAGGTTCCCCAGGCCTACTATAGACGGGCCACCCCACTTTACCCCCAACACCCTACAATCATTAGAACCTGAACCCTGCCTCCCATGCCTGCCTCCATGGCAGGCCCCTGCAGAAACCAAACACAGTCACCTTAGACTCTGGCATACTGAAACCAGGGCCTGACCCTGGCCCTCTCGCCTGCAATTTACTATTTAATAAAAATGTTGCTAAAGAATATTCATGCATCTGCAATATGTTTGTTTCCGAATGTAGCGTCAAATGACAGCCCCTTTTCTTTCTCCCCTTTTTCCCCATTGTATCCTTTCTGGGATCACAATGACAAGGAGAGGCTAAGAATGAAGGTAAATTTGGGGGAAGTGCCACAATCTTCATTTCTCAGAAGAAATCGACAGTAGACTGTGCTATGCAAGGGCAAGGCGTTTCAGAGTGTAGATACCCCTGTTCCCTCCAGCTAAGAAGATGGACCCGCCTGGCCAACATAGCAAAACCCCAGCTTTACTAAACATACAAAAATTAGCCGAGTGTAGTGACACACACCTGTAATCCCAGCTACTTGGGAGACTGAGGCAGGAGAATCGCTGGAACCCAGGAGACAGAGGTTGCAATGAGCCAAGATCACACCACTGTGCTCCAGCCTGGACAATAGAGCAAGGCTCCATCTCAGAAAAAAAAAAAAAAAAAGAAAAAGAAAATGGTTTCCCTGGGCGCAGGACATAGCACCAGATTGGAGAGTACTTCCCCTACTCTATTAGGACATTATGTAACAAAGACTCCGGGTTCTTTGTGTTATTTATAATAAAAGGCCGAAAATAGTTACATTTTAGTCCGTTCATGTAGTGAACTATTGTGTAGCTGTTGAAAGGCATTTGAAGACTTTTTTTCACGAAGGAAAAAGGCATATTCCAAAACTGTATGTGCAGTATGTTCAAATTTTATAAAGTATCTATGTGCATAGGAACTTTGCAGAAAGACACCAAAATTTCTGGAAATTGGAATTCTGGCTGATTTTTTTTTATCACTTTTTAAAATTTTCTACAATGAACATGATTATCATGAGAAAAAAGAAATCCCATATTATAAAAGTTTTGGGTTCTCCCTGCTGGAAATGAAGAAGGAATCGCAGCTGACCTAGTGAGGGGGCTATTAGGGCCGGTGCTTTCCGACACTGACGGCTTAGGCCAGCGGAGGTGGAGGCCCTCATGGGAACCAGATCCTATAATCCTGCCAACCGTCAGAAGGAGACACATTTAGATCTGGTGGAGGACAAGGCAGTCTGTTCCTCCCTCACCACCTCCCACTCACTTTTCCTTTCTCTTACACCTTTTTTGTGCTGTAGTGACAAGCACTCTGCTCTTAAGGGCAGAAGACCTGGGTCCACATCTTTACCCTTACACATTCCCCCTAGATAGGTGGCTAGATGAATTTTTCAGTGCTACCAAACCTTACCCCATTCACCCACAAGACACAGAGCAAAAGCCTCCAATGAGCAGCTCAATCGTACCTCACGGCCTTTGCAATTTTTTTTCTTTTTTTTTTTTTTAACACACATCTTCTTAGCAGCAATTTCTTTTCCCTCTTTCTAGAATGTCATGCCCCCAGACATCATGTGGTTAGTTCCTTCTTGTCATTTGAGTCTCTGAGTAGCACCTCCTCAAAGAGTTCCTCACTCCCCTCCATCTCTTTCCATACGTTTTTCTATTTTATTTTTGCTGAGCACTGATCCCTAAGATTATCTTATATGTTTGCTCGCTTGCTTCTTGTCTCCTAGAAATTAAACTCTCTGGGAGCAGGAATCTTGTCTGCCTTGAGCAGGTATCTCCATTACCTAAAACACTGTCACTAATTAAATGAGTCAAGCACCGTGCAATACCTTCTCACCATGTTTTCTTAATCCTCCCCAAGAACCTCGTGTGGTTTACATATGAGAGAAAGGTTAAGAACAGAGAGGTGAAGTACAATGAGTAAGTGGCAGAGTCAGAATTAGCACTAATTCTGGAACACTCTGCACTTTGCTACCCCTCCCTCCCATGCAGCCAGCATGAAGTCTATTTTGGAGAGAGAGGGCTGGGATGGACAGTTCAAGGGCAGGAAACATTAAGAACCAAATTTCTGAGTCTGGAAAGTTCAAAATAGTAAAAAGACAGAATTGGGTTACAGTCATGGGAAATAGCGGGAGCAAAGGCTGGAAAGAGCTGGAGAAGCTTGCTTGGATCTTGAGACCATTTGGTAGGTAACTGAGTAACACACACTCCCTTTCATTTATTCCATAAGTAGACACCGCACACCTCCTGAGAGCTTTAAGTGGTTCAGAACTTCCCTGGAATGGGCAGCCCCTGTCCTTAAGTAAGCACCTACTGTGTGCTCCATGTGGCTCAGGACACGTCTAGGCTGGGAGATCATTGTCCTTGTCCTGCTGGTGCCTGGGGTACTGCCTCGAGTCATTTGGGTGTCTGCTTAACAGGGGTTACCTGCCCTGAGCAGAGACAGATGGGAGATTTCAGTCATCATTAAGGTTTATTGACCAGCAAGGCTGGAATTTCCCAGAGAGAGGAATTAATCTGACTGCCGACTGAGAGCAGACATCCTGCTGGGAGTAGTTACATAAATTCTGTTGCTCAAATTAATTAGGATTGTGATTCATTTGTTTAATGAGGAAGAATCTGATGATGGCAAGAGCCAAGCCAGCCTGACCTTTCAGAGCCCAGCCAATCCCAGGTGACACTGTGGCAGGTGGGAGGACCTGGCGGCTGGAGCAGGGCTCTGCCGTGGGAGGAAGAACCTGGCCAATCAGTAGGAGGAACAAACTGAGGCAGTCAAAGACAGCCAATCAGAATTCAGTGCTAGCTTAGAAGGGGGTCTGAGGCTTCGGAGTCTCCCTAAGCTCATGTTTCTGTGGTCTCTTGGGTTCCCAAGCATGGAAGGATCTCTCAGCTTCATCCAGAGTCTTAGACCGTCCTCTTTTTCCAAGCTGTGGAGAAAAATTTCTGACAGCCCAGATAACCTCAGCAGCACTCCCAGGACCCATCCGGCCATTTCACCCCAGCCCCAAAATTGGCAGGAGGAAGGGTTCTTTCAATAAAGCAAAAACCTGTTGCCTGAAGCACATAGAAATATTCTTCTCTTTCTCCTACCTCTACTTACAAACTGACCCCTCCCTTGTATCCAGAATGCCCTTACTGCCTGTTCAAGGTAAGCCCCAAATCCCACCAGCATTGCCTTCATTCTACCTGTGAGGCCCCTGCTGGCCTGGGTCTTAACTTGCTTAAGACCTGGGTCTCAGTTGCCCTAATATTTGTGAGAGACAGGATGGTTGCTGGAGGAGGGTAGCCGTGGTGGGGAGGGAGAGTTGTAGAAATTCCACATGGCTCCAGGGGTCATGATTCATATTATAGTGTATGTGATGGTGCCCTTTGGGATAGAACAGAAAAGGTGCTTCCTGAAGGTGTGCTTCCTGGTGGCTCTGGAGAAAGAGGGTCAGAGTCAGCAAATGTTTGAAGATTGAGAAGGATTTGCTGATGGACTAGATGTTGGGGAGAAGAAAGGAGAATAACACAAATTTGGGGGCTTAGGAATTCATGCCAACATCTGCAGAAGCTCCCAGGAAGCCCTGTTTTCTTTTTCTTTTTTTTCTGAGATGGCATCTCACTCTCTCACCTAGGCTGGAGTGCAGTGGCTTGATCTCAGCTCACTGCAACCTCCACCTCCTGGGTTCAAGCAAGTCTCTTCCTCTGCCTCCCAAGTACCTGGGATTACAAGTGCGTGCCACCATGCCCAGCTAATTTTTGTGTTTTTAGTAGAGACGGGATTTCACCATCTTGGCCAAGCTGGTCTTGAACTCCTGACCTCATGATCCACCTGCCTCGGCCTTCCAAAGTGCTGGGATTACAGGCATGAGCCACCACGCCCGGCCGGGAGCCTTTTTTTCTTTCGATGCTCCCCCACCTCTTATTGTGACAGACCAGACTGGTATGACCTGGATAAACCATAAGCTGGGCTCAACAGGACCGGTGATGAAGCAGGAGCATCATCAAGGGTGGGTGCCTGGCTGTCCCAGGGGCTTCGCCTGCTTTACAAACCAGACCAGGAAGCTTCATCTGGAGCCTGGTCAGTTGTGCCTCAGTTAGAGAACGAATAGTCACAAAGGGACACTGGTCTGGGAACCAAAACTTCAAAATGGAGTGAGCTGGGACAGATCTGTCAGCTCTCTGGGCCTCAATTTCCTCATCCTTGAAAGGTGCCTGCGATCTGCTGAGGAGAATAGAGCTTCTGCTCTTGTTCCCTACAGACTGTCACTCCGTCAGCTGCTAGAGGGATCTTTTGTAAATCTAAGTCAGACTTTGTTACTTCCTATATTTTAAATCCCTCTAAAGTCTCTTCAACACATTCAGAATTTCTAAAAAAAAAAAAAAAAAAGAGAGAGAAACTAATCCTTGACTAAGGAGGCCCATGTGATCTAGCCCCTGCCTACCTTTCAGCCGTCCTCCTCTGCAGCACCAGTCCCTCACCTCACTCTGCCCACATCAGTGCTCCTTCTGATCCTTGAATCCAAGCCCACTCAATCCATAAGGCCTTTGCACTGACTGGTCTCTGTCCCTGGGGCATCTTTCCCCAGCTCTTTACATGGGTGGAAACTTAATTCTTTCACCGCTTAAATGTCACCTTCTTGGACAGACTTTCCCCAACTAATCTGAAGTGGCTCAGGCCCCATCCATTCCCCTATCTAATTTTTCACTGTAACACTTTTTACTACTCACCCTTTATTGGTTTGTTGTCTACCTTCCTCACCAGGAATTTAAGGTCCAAAAGGCCAGGGGCCTTCCCCATGGTATCAGTCAGGGTCCAGCCAGGAGAATAGGAGCTGCACTAGATATTTCAGAGGTGTTATTTAATAAAAGGAGTTAGTTTAAATATAACATATTAGAGGGAGAGGGAAAATCTAAAAGCAAACACTGAAGTAAGACCAAGGTAATAACCACAAGAAACAGTGTTTGTTGTCAGAATCTATGTGCTAGGACCGGGTACGGTGGCTCACACCTGTAATCCCAGCACTTTGGGAGGTGAAGGCAGGAGGAACGCTTGAAGTCAGGAGTTCAAGACCAGCCTAGCCAACATGACGAAACCCCATCTCTACTAAAAATACAAAAATTAGCCATGCATGGTGGTGGGCGCCTGTAATCCCAGCTACTCAGGAGGTTGAGGCAGGAGA